GTAGAAATCAGAACATTCCTAGTCAGGTTAGCTTTCTGTCTAATCAAGTTAGTCATTTGACTGAGATGCTTACTAAGCTTACTAGGAGTACCTTATCATCTAAGAAAGTTTGGGTCAAAAAGGGTGATTTAGCTAGACATTCAAGTCAAGATAAGTGTTTTGTTGCTCATGTTGCATTAAAAGCCCAAAATTACAATATGTGGTACCTAGACAGTGCATGTTCTAGGCATATGTGTGGTAATAAGGCTTTGTTTACTACTCTTGATGAATGTAACGGTGGTATGGTTACCTTTGGAGATGGAGGTTCTGCACCTATTCTTGGCAAAGGTACTGTACAAATGCATGGCTTACCTGAGATCTCTAATGTGCTTGTTAAGCATTAGTCAAATTTGTGATGCTGATTTTGAAGTGAGCTTTGTGCAAAAGAAATGTACTGTGTATGATTCATCTGGTGGGGTAGTTCTTGAAGGGGTTAGAACAGCTGATAATTGTTATGGAGTCTTGCCTAATTCTAACTATGTGTGTAGGAGTGCTAAAATTGATGTGAGTGAACTCTGGCACAAAAGGTTAGATCACTTGAACTATAAGAGTCTAGTACAACTAGCTAAGAAAGAGTTAGTAGATGGTTTGCCTAAGATAGGTCCTAGTGAACATGTTGTGTGTAGACCATGTCAACTAGGTAAACAACTCAAGGGAAACCATAAGAAGACTTCTAAAATTCTGACCAAAAGACCCTTAGAATTGATACGCATGGATTTAATGGGACCATCTAGGACTGAGAGTTTAGGTGGTAAGCGATACATTCTAGTTGTGGTAGATGACTTCTCGAGGTTCACATGGATAGAATTGCTTCGGGAAAAATCTGATGCATGTGATCTCATAAAGTCTTTGTGCAAACGGTTTAGCAATGAACTAAATCTCAAAGTGTCTAGAATGCGTAGTGACCATGGAAAGGAGTTCGAGAACTTTAATCTCAAAAGTTTCTGCATGGATGAAGGCATATTGCATGAGTTCTCTTCCCCTATCACTCCTCAACAAAATGGAGTGGTTGAAAGGAAGAATCGGGTTCTTCAGGACATGGCTAGAGCCATGCTTCATGGCAAGGGACTAGCCTTACATTTTTGGGGAGAAGCTGTTAACACCGCATGCCACATAATTAATAGAGTTTACCTTAGACCCAAGACCGATCAGACTCCATATGAAATACTTAAGGGTAAAAAGCCTACTGTTAAGTACTTTCGAGTATTTGGGAGTAAGTGCTACATTTTACGTGATCGAGAGAACTTGAGTAAGTTTGAATCGAAGAGTGATGAAGGAATCTTCCTAGGATACTCTAGAAATAGCCGAGCATTCAGGGTGTACAACTTACGTACTCGTGTGGTGATGGAGTCAGTAAATGTTGTGATAGATGATGCTGTAAGTGAGGGGGAGAGTGTTGAAAATTGTGATGAAGATGGAGATCTTATAAGTTCTAATGATCCTACTGAGATACCTATGTCTGAATCATCACTTAAAAAACTTGAAACACCTGAAAAGAAAACATTTCCACAAGATCGAGATAAAGATCCTAAGGAACCATCGACTAGGGTTAAGTCTAATCATCCTAAAGACAATATCATTGGGAATCTAGATGAAGGCATGAGGCTTCGTAGGAGAGTACTGAACAATCTAGCATACACTAGCTATATATCTCAGGTATAACCTAAAAAGGTTGAAGAGGCTCTTGGTGATGAGTGTTGGGTGGATGCGATGCATGAGGAGCTCAATCAATTTGCTAGGAACAATGTGTGGATCTTAGTTCCCAGACCTGAGAATTGTAATGTTATTGGTATTAAGTGGATCTTTAAGAATAAGACAGGTGACCAGGGTACTATAACTAGGAATAAGGCTCGATTAGTTGCTCAGGGTTATACTCAAGTTGAAGGAATTGACTTTGATGAGACTTTTGCCCCTGTTGCACGACTTGAGTCTATTCGGATTCTGCTTGCTGTTGCTTGTACCTTAGGGTTCAAGTTGCATCAAATGGACGTAAAGAGTGCCTTCTTGAATGGACTTCTTCAAGAAGAAGTCTATGTGGAACAACCAAAAGGATTTGTTGATCCTAAGTTTCCCCACTATGTCTACAAACTACACAAAGCCCTCTATGGTCTGAAGCAAGCTCCTAGAGCTTGGTATGAGAGACTTACATCATACCTTGAAGAACATGGATTCTCTCGAGGTGGTGCAGATAGGACCTTATTTATTAGACATGTTGATGAAACTATCACCATTGCTCAGATTTATGTCGATGACATAATTTTTGGCTCTCTTCTTGAGTCTCTAGCTTATGAGTTTGCTGAATGTTTGAAGCAAGAATTTGAAATGAGTATGGTTGGGGAGTTGAGTTATTTCCTTGGACTTCAGGTAAGACAGACAGAGGATGGACTGTTCATTTCACAGTCCAAGTATGCTAAGGATCTAGTTAAGCGCTTTGGGCTAGATAGTAAGAAGCATACTAGGACACCTATGAGTACTAGCTTAAAGTTAGGTCATGATCCTTCAGGTAAGAGTGTAGATCCTTTCCTATATCGAAGCATGATAGGTAGTCTTCTTTATCTCACAGCTACTAGACCTGACATTGCTTTTAGCATTGGTGTGTGTGCTCGATTTCAGGCAGATCCAAAAGAATCACACTTAAGCTCTGTTAGACGCATCATTAGATATGTGAGTGGTACAGTTGATTTAGGGATCTTCTATTCTCGAAATTCCAATCTTGACTTGGCTGGTTACTCCGATGCCGATTGGGCCGGGAACGCAAATGATAGAAAAAGTACGACAGGGGGTTGTTTTTACATGGGTAGCAATCTCGTAGCCTGGTTAAGCAAGAACAGAATTCTATATCGCTATCCACGGCAGAGGCTGAATACATAGCTGCAGGGAGTTGCTGCACTCAGGTTCTCTGGATGAAACAGACGCTGAGTGATTATGGGATTAGTCAAGGGACCATGACTATTTTCTGTGATAATACAAGTGCAATAAACATTTCTAAAAATCCCATTCAGCACTCTCGAACAAAACATATAGACATACGACATCATTTTATTCGTGAGCTTGTTGAATCACATGTAATCTCCCTCGACCATGTCTCTACTGATAATCAATTGGCTGATCTACTTACGAAACCACTAGATGGATTGAGGTTTGAGTCGCTTCGGACGACTGTTGGTGTTTGCTCACCTATTTGATCATGGATTCATGCATGTTCATGCATTCATCACATATGTACCTCATCACTTCATATCTTGCGTGTGATCTGTGTGTGTGTGATGCATTTCTTTTGTTTTGTTTAGTCTTCTGTTATGTGTTATATGTGTGTTTTAATAAAAAAAAATCAGATAAAATAAAATAAAATAAATGTTTTTTTGGACTTTTATGTAACGATTCTGGCATTTGCATTAAAGATCAAATTCTATTTTTCCAATATGTGTATGAATCTGAGGATCCATCTTTGTTCATTTTTCACTGTGGAGTTCTGGGTATATGGCTCGTCATTCATTTTCACACAGCACACACTGTAGTCCTGTAAGTGAGTCTTGACCGCATGGGTGAGACTTGGGATGGTGTTCTTCTATGATTGGGATTGTATGTACATTTGACTTGATCTGGGACGAGTGTAACCTAATCAATATTGCCTTTCCCTAGTTTTACTTTTGTTCTTTGTTGAACTTATGGCTATCTTCGAGGCCTATTTGACTCTAACAATTAAGCCTGAGGGGTTTCTAACCTGGTGCCCTATGGTCGTCTGACTTGGGAGTCACCTGCCCAAAGTTCGTTACAGGGGTCATTTATGTTGCCTAATGGGGATGGCATTGCACTTAAGTTCTTTTGTTAATTAAAAAAAAAAGATAAAAATAAAAATTTGGAATCATACAGTTAGGGGGAGTAAAATTGTGACAATCATAATATTTGATATAGGTCCTCGTGGAATTGGATTTGACTGTCACTTGGTTGACATTCACCTTTATCTGGTTGTTTTCACGTGTCCTTTCTCACTAATTTAAGGTTTTGAGTCTAGCTTGCATGGACTACGTGGCACTTTTCACGGTGATGTTCTGTATACACTTTACTACACAGGATTCTGAACTATGTGTGGATTAACGATTTGTCTACGTGCTGGTGGTCGGGTTTGTGATTTTATGCTTATTGTTGGTTTTGATTGCATATGTGGTTCCATGCTATTTTTTTTGGATTATTTTCCACTATTACGTAGTTCAATTATTTTTGAAATTTCACGATTTGGGGCTAATTTCGTCATTTCTTGAAGATTATGTTATTTTTCTCAAAATTCAAATTTTTAGTGCTATTTTTGACATTTGGTGTTTTGCTCGAGTCTCGCCTGGTCTTCGCTCGAGTGATAAAAACAGTTTGCTTGTCGCTCGAGTCTCGCTAGATCCTCGCTCGAGCGACAGGTCACTTTTTAAAATACCCGGTTTCATTTTTTTCGCGCAATTTCTTGATTTTTCTCTCTTCTTTCTTCCTTCTTGTGTTTTTTTCTCAATTTTCATCAATTGATAACTTAACTTTGAGGCCCCTAACAACATTTTTCTTCCGGATTCCTTTGCTAAACATCACATTGCGGTAATCTTTTTTCTTTTTCGTTTTGTTTTGCTCTTTTTCGTGTGTTTTGCTTACTTCGGTATTCTTGCTTGATTGTTACTTAATTTATAGAAGCTTCGACATTCTTTTTTTATTGGGAGTTATCTCACGCGTTGTGCATCACGATTTCCATTGCATTGTTCGTTTTCTTCATTCTTCACACTATGTGGTTTACATGTTTTTCCTCCATTTTCAATTCGTTCGTTCTTGCATTTCGTTAATCCGTTTGACGTGTGGTTTGTTTCATTTTAAAGTACGTCGTTTCTAGTTTGAGGGACTATGATTAGATGGGTGATTGGATCTCGTATGTGCTTGGAATTGTGTGACAAAGTGATGCACGCCACATGCTCGATGAAATTCCTTACCTATTTTACTCTTTGTTTCCTCCTTTTTTTTGTGCATCTCATTTCTTTCTTTCCTTTTCGTCGTTGGTTCTTTGTCATCACGTGCCATGATAGGTGTGTTCACACATATTTTTGGTCTATATCTTCATCTTACTTCGTTTGTGCTTAGGGTCATTCACGTTTGTCGATGCATCTCTATTGTGCCTCATTTGTGTGTGTGGTGTTTCATTCCACATTGCATCGAATCACGTGCATTCTTCATATTACTTATTAGTTTTATCTCTACGAATGCCAGATGGCCCATAAGCGTTCTCAATCCTCTGCACAGCCAGCTAGTGGTTCGACGTCGTATAGTCGTTCTAGATTCATTTCTGCTACAGCTCAGGAAGTCTTCACTTCTCAGTTCTCCTTATGCCCTGTTCTCGTGGAGCCTGAGGTAATCTTATCTGACCTTCCTGTTGATATAGCCGCCATTTTTGTTTCCCGGGGTTGGGAGCCCCTTCTTATTGGTCTTTCACCTCCTCCCCCACTCCTCGTTCAGGAATTCTACGCGAATATTCATGATATAGATAGCTCGTCCTTTAGGGTTACTCTTAGAGGTCATTCGTTTAGAGTTACTCCATCGGCCATAGCTCATGCCTTAGGTATACCTCAGATTACCCATCCGACGTACCACTATATTTTACCTGCTTCTATTCTAGCCGATGCTCTTGTTCGGTCTACGCTTTTGAACACCCCGTCTATCGTTGGCCCTACGGCGATGGCCATGGGGTCATTGCCTACTGATCGTCAGGTCTTGTTGCGCATAGTGTGCACAAACCTGTGGCCTGTTGCCCATACCTCTTCTCTACCTATGGTGCGTGCCCGTTTTCTGTATGCCCTTCTTCATGGGGACTCGATCGACTTTCCTAGTTTTGTGTGCCAGAATATTCTGGCTTCCTTTCGTACTCCTGGGGGTCGGATCGGGTTGCCTTATTCTTGTTTGATTCATCGGGTTGCGTTGTCTTTGGGTGCCTCTTTTTTCGGAGGGTTCGACTTGTCGCATAGGACGTCCGATTGGACTGCAGACCATTCATCAGAGTCGATCCCATGTACTATCATCTTCCTCTACCGCTCCGGCTACGGCCCCTGATGTTTTTGATCCTTCGGAGCCCTTTGATCCTATTACTGAGATTCTTACAGGGGGCTCCCGTGTGTTTCTCCCTCCTCGTCCAGTTTTTCCTTCTGCTATTCCTCTTAGCTCTGCGTTTGCTTCGACATCTACTTCTGCTCCGGGGGTGGCTTCTCTGCCCGTTGACCCCATGGTGACGCTTATGGGACAGATGTCCACCTTGGTCGAGCAGCAGGCTCGTATAATGGCAGAGATCACTCAGTTGCGTGCTGCGTCGGAGCGTCAGACAGCTGAGCTTTCCTCTTTTCGCCGTGCTCTTGCTGTGTGTCAGCGCCACTTGCATTGGATTCGAGACAGTATGGAGGAGGACACTAGTGCTGGGAGTGGGGCTGAGTCTTCAGATGCTGGGGGTGCTGCCTCGTAGTTAGTCTGTTGATTGTTTTTGTTCCTTTGTCCTTTGTGACAAAAAGGGGGAGTAGATGTTTGGATAGATGTTTGGATAGATAGACATCAATTTGGATAAATAGATATCAATTTTTTGGTAATTGTGATATAACGATGGTCTGTGTATAATTCATGAATAGACTGAGTTTTTGATGTTTTGGCAATATTAGTATATGTTTTTGGTGTTTTTGACTTACATTATTATTGCTTCTTAATCTGGTTAATGATATATGATCTATCTCTTGTTTTCATTTACTGTTTCTATTTCACATGCTTTTACACTTGGTATTTGAGTTTTTATTTTCAAGAAACAGGTTCAACAAGAGATTGCTAACTTGGTAGAATAGATAGATTATTTGGAGTCATGTTTATTTCGTCCTTGACTGTCATGTGTATTTTTGTCACAGAATGCCAAAGGGGGAGTTTGTTAGGAAAATGTGTAATTGGCAATCTGTGACCAAAGGACCTATTTGTCATGTTTGTAACGTCAGGGACTAAATTGTAAAGGTCTAATAGTTCAGGGACTAGAGTTGCAATTTAATAAATTTTATTGCATGGGTCTAGGGTAAAGGTGGATGCTTTGAAGTTGCAAACGGCGCGTTGATGTCGCTAGAGTTTTGCCCTGACCTCGCTCAAGCCTAAATTGCAGAACCAACCTCGCTAGAGTTTCGCTGGGCAGTCGCTCGAGCGAAGCTGCGTCGCTCGAGTTACGCCAGCACCTCGCCCGAGCGACCGTGTTATGTGGCCATTGCTAATTTTAATTTCTCGCGAATTTTTAACACTCCATATTTCCAAATTCGACCTAGTATATAAACAAAACGTCCGGTTTTTCATTGAGAACCTTTGGCAAACACAAAACATCAATTCCTCTCAAATTCCAAAGGATCAAGAACAAACAAATTCATTCTTTTCATCTTTCATCTTTTCATCTTTTGTTTCTTTGAGTAAAAATATCAATCTTTACAAAAATCAAAACACCATTTCATTACTCCTTACCAACTTCCAGAAGATCATCAGTTTGAAGATCTGGGAAGGAAATTGCTTGAAGAGCAGGAGTGCTTGGTGATTCACGAGAGGTTGAAGATATTCAATACTGGGATTTTGGCGCAGATCTGCAGAATCCAGGAGAGCTTTGGTTGATACAGTAAGGAGGTCAGAGAATTGGTAGTTTCAATTGTGTCTGGCGTATTGTAAGTCAATATCTTCGATAGCGAATCTCTACTGGCTTGTACCCGGAGTTTTTACCCAGTTGGGTTTTCTCCGTCAACATTTTGTGATGTTTTTATTGTTTTTCCTGTCTTTCGTTATTTACTTTTCAACCGGAAATTCAACTTAGGTAGATAAAAGTATGTGAATGAATCTAGGCAATGCTTAATTTATGTGACTTGTTACATGAATTAATTAATTGATTTAAATTCCGCATAAACACCTATTCACCCCCTCTAGGTGTTGGTTGGGTCGAATTATATCTTTTTCAGTACGTAAGGTCGAACTAATCGGTAATCTAGAATGTAAACTTGGTAACACTAAAATTTGAATTGGTGATCACAGCATCCCGTGAACTTTCAAGCTTTGTCACAGCGTTCTAAGTGAGACTTTTCAAGTGGTATCATATTCTAAACACGTGTCCTGACTTTACGTTGCTAGACGAGTACCCCGTTGAGTGTGCCGTCCTACTTTGATGGTAGTAATTATGCCAATTTGAAAGTTAGGATGAGGGCATTCTTGAAATCTATGGATGAAAGGATTTGGTTGAATGTAGTTGACGATTGGTCTGCCCCTAGTACAACGGTTGACAATGACGTTACTCCCAGCCCTATAGAAAATTGGTCTAAGGCTGAACTAGATAAATGCAACTGGAATAGCAAAGCCCTTCATGCCCTCTTTATGGCTATTTCTCCGAGGAATTTAGGAGAGTGTCCATGTGTGATGTAGTAAAAGAAGTTTGAGATATTTTAGAAACCACACATGAGGGAACATAGGGGGTCAAGAACTAAAAACTGCAGTGGCTACTAGGTTTGAAGAGATCAAGATGAGAGAGGATGAAACCTTTGATATATTTTATGCTAGCATAAATGACATTGTGAATTCATCTTTCAACCTAAGTGAGAAAATCCCCAAGCCTAAGATAGTGAGAAAAATCCTTAGATCCTTACCCGAGTGTTTTAGGCATAAAGATACAGCAATTGAGGGAAGTAAGTGTAAGTATTATGCCCTAGGTCCAATTGATTTTGGACATAAATACTTTCATATATAATTAATGCAATTAAATGGCAGATCTATTATTTAATTAATAGACAATTAAATAAATAATAGAGTCCGTAGATTCAAATATTTGTAATTTATTAATCACAAGGAGTTGTGATTGTGAGATACAAATTACATCTGATTGAATCTTAAATCATCCGTGGTCGTAAGTAATAACGAGATACGGATATCGTTATTACGGATAGACCATCACGTGTGGCATTTCTTACTTGTGAAGTAAGTAGCTGATCTCACAAGTTAAAGTGTGGTGACACTTAAATGAACACGTGGATGTTTGTTATAGAACAAAACATTGGAGACCCGTCGAGAGATTCCACATGGATAACTATCTGAGTGTCGGTGGTTAATCTCTAACGTTCGGTAGTGAAATTGGTCCTTTGACTTGAGGTCGTCATGGTACCTTATATGAGGACAGTCATACTTTGGCGGTGTTGGATGTTGCTCTGAAAAGGGCCGCTAATACGACATCGTTCGGGTACGTCAAGAATCGTATGAAGGTTGTGATTGATCAATAAAGGATTCGTCACTCTTAGATAGTAGGAAATTATGATCTGCGTTTCATTCAATTAAGTCAATGATGAAATCCTTGGCCAAGGTGTACTCATAAGTCGAAAAGGAGTTTTCGATTTATATTGACTTAATAGTGGAGTGAAAGATATGATCGATGATCGAGATTGACACAATTCCATATCTCGTAATTGATCGGATCATATTGACGAAGGGATTATAGTTTCACGGTAAACGAACGAATTTGATTTTGTCATACCACGTGACATTTCCCGTCACATGTATTGCCCTGACACATTGCTAGATGTCAATCAGGGACGGCGAATGTGAATTGACGATAAATTAAAAGGGGGGTTTTAATTTATCAATTTTGATTAGATCAAAATAATATTTCACGTCGTTAGGCATCGTGGTCGGGAACCTAATGGGTCACACACAAAAGAGAATTGGAAGATTGCAAATTGCCAATTGATTAATTTAACAATCGTTGGATAAATTAATTAATTGGATTTGTTATTTATATTTTGAATTAATTAATTGGATTAATTAATTCACGGACCGGGTTTAATTAATTGGATTAATTAATTATTGGGCCGGACCGGGCCGAGCCTATTTGGGTTTATATAAATACATAACTAGGGTTTGAGGTCCATTAAGGTTTTCATTATTCTTGCTAGCACAAGAGAAAACCCTAGAGGCTGCAATCATATTCTCTGTGTGGATCACCGTTGGAGGCTGGACAATTGGACAGCTGTGGTGGCGAATCAAAGTTGTGGAACGAAAAGAGAAGCAATAGGATTGCAGATCTGGAAAAGGTACAATCTTATCACAATTTCTAACCAAACACAATGAGATCTATTGGATGGGAGTCGAAAATTATTAATTTTCCGCTGTGCATGTATAAGTAGATTCCCAACAGTAAGGACATAGACACTATCAAGCTAGAAGAGCTAGTTAGATCCATCCAGACCTATGAGCTGACTGTAAGGAACCCAGCTAAAGAAAAATCCTTGGCCTTGAAATCTGCCAAGAATAATCAGACCGAATCTTCTGATTCAAATTCACCCAATGATGAGGAGATGGCCTACCCAGCTAAAAAATTTCGTAAGATGCTTAGGAATAAGAAGAAGCTACAAGAGAAATCGAGAGCTAGTGTGAGTAAATCTAGGAGAAGATCTAAATCTATGAGGTGCCATAACTATCAAGGTGTAGGTCATGTTAAGAGAGAGTGCCCTAGTGCTAAGATAATTAAAGAGAAAGCTATGAATACTACTCTTACTGATAACGAGTCTAGCTTGGACAATCAGAGTGAGAAATCCACTCATGAGGAAAGTGAAAAATTTGTTGCCTTCGTTGCTAGGTTTAAGAGTGGATCCGAACAGGGAAATGAGAGAGATGAGGACTTAGATAGTGGTGAAGATTCTAGTGATGAGTCTGTGAGTAAGAAAGTATTGAAGGGGCCAACTCCTATGTCCTGTCTGTCCTTCATAGGCGAGTTGGCTATTCCTGAGAAAAAGTTTTAGAGGTTTGGCATCTACACAGGATGAGAAAATGTATCAGCAGAGCTTGAAAATTCTCAGTAAAAATAAAGCCTTAAGTAAAATTGTTTAGGAGCTACATTTGGAGAAAGCTAAGTTAGAATCATACGTTAAGGAGTCTTCCACAATCTTGAGTGAGCTTAAGTCGATAAATGAATCATCAAAGTCTCAGGTTAAAAATCTAAGTAGTGAGCTTGAGAGGTCCTCTAAGAGAATCGGTGAGTTGACTGCCATAAATGAGACTTTAGACATTCAGGTTGTGAACCTTGTGAGTGAATTAGAGCATTATAAGCCTCAACTTCTTCCTTTCAATAGTGGGTTGTCTAAGTTAGATAACATGCTAGGTATCGACAAGCCGATCGAAAATAGGAGAGGTCTAGGATATAAAGGAAAAGATCATGATGTCGCTAGCATGTCTAAGACCACATTTATCATTTCCAAAGACTAGCTTAAATGTGTGCCTAATCTTGAACCTAAGGAAAATGGATTTATAGGATAGAGGTCTACTAGATAGCATAGGACTCGTCGACCTAGAAATAGATGTTAGAGTTCACATAACACAGGTACTATGTTTATCCCCTCATGCTACCATTGTGGTAATTTAGGTCATATCCGCTCTAGATATCATCATTACTAAACAAAAGGAAAACATGAACTTGAAAAAGAATAAGAATCGTGTATCTATTGGTTAGATTGGATTCCTTACTGATCAAGTAAATTGTTTTACCAAATTGGTGACACAACTGTCTAGAAACTGTTCTCTCACCAAGTAGGTTTGGATAAAGAAGAGTGATCTGCCAAATGTGGTAGTAGATCATAGTGCTCTTAAAGGGAAACGACACTCATATACCTAGATGATTAGGTATTTTTTTATGCATGCCTATTTTTAACTATCATATTATATGTTCATGCATCAATTGTATATTTTTATTTCTATTTTGCTTTGTTTTTTGTTTCATGCACGTGCATTTACATTTGTTTGCTTTGGCACATGCATATTTTATGTTTGTTTTGTGTGCTTGACTTTATTTTTTCTCTTTTGTGACTGAACATTCATTCTTGGAAAATTGAAAAACATAAAAATAGTTTATTATGGAACACTTCTACATCATGACATATGTTTCTTGAATTTGCATGTTGTGATCATGTATGAGCTGAATTGCTAAGCTATAGAATAATTTTCATTACTTGTTTAGGTCACTTTGGATTACTTAGTAAAGGTGTCTTCATGTACCAATTGCACTGCACACACTAAAAATTTGTTAGTGGGACTCCACCGCGTATGTGAGATTTGGGATGGCTGTCACATGTTAATAAGGTGACTTCGAACATGAGTTGACCTAATTTTGTAGACCTAATGTTACACCCCATTCATTTATAGTCGAAGTCAAGAAATGATTTTGCCAAAGCCAAAGTCAAATAAGGACTTAAATTTGAATAAATGATTTTCACGGGACTTAAATTTCAATTACAAATACTTGAGGTCAAAAATGATATAATAATAAAATCTAGGGATTTAGTTTCTATTGTTGAAAATTTAAAGACTAAATGTTTATGTTATATAAAGATTGGTGACTTGACTTGCAATTGTTCAATATTTATCCTTTAAACCTTATAATGTAATGTATCTATCTGTTTTTCTCATTTGGTGGAGGGGGGGGGGGGAAGAAAGAGCAGAGAACAAAATCATCGAGAAAAGGAAGAAAGGAAGAAAGAAGAGAAAAGAAAAAGAAGGAAGAGGTAGGTTCCAATTTCTCAAACCTAGGTTCTCAATTTCTTAAATTTTTCCTTTGATTGAGAGAGGCGAGTATAAGAATATGAAATTATCTTTTAGGGTTTATGAAAATTTTACTTAAATTCAAAGTTTAGCAAGAAGTGTTATTGACATGTATTTGAGGTTTTAAATAATAATAGAGTAAACAATTGAAAGTTGGTGTTGAAGAAAGTAAAATTTTGAAAAGGGTTTATGAGATAACGACATATTCTTTGATTTATTATTATTATTATTTATTTATTATTTTTTTTTGTGGTTTTGTGGTGTTAACACACTTAATTTAAGGATTTGAGGTTTGATATATCAATTTTTTTAGAGCAATTTTAAGCTATTTTCGAGCAATTGTGGTACACAAGTGTTGTTTCTGAAATTTTACCCGAAAAGTGCTATTTCAGTCAATGGTTTTGGTGCTAATTTTCAATATACAGAAATAGGTGCCAGATTACAATACGCTAGAATTTAAGTGCTTTTTTTGTCGAAACTTTATTTTCTCAGATTTTACAAGTTCAATGAAACTAAATGATAAATATTGAAGTTAGGTGTTGGATTAGGTAATGTATAAGGTTTGTATAGTATATGTATACGGTAGTTATTTTAAGAAATTATAGTGATTTAATGGATTTGATCATGTTTGATGATTTCTTAGTAAATAATTGAGAGATGAAAAGTCAAAGAACAGAGAAGCAAGAATAAAGATAGAAGTTAGGGAAATTACGTGGTAGATTTGTATTAGTTTAATTGTTAGATTTTAATTCGACTTATTATACCGTTATTTCAAGTAGGGACGTGAAAGTTTGAAAATGCCAGTCAATTTAATTGAATTTCTATCCATACATACATGGTGAGTGGAAGAACTTATATAATTTTTGAAAAATTAATATATTACTTATACTATTACATTTTGTGCAATTATGTGAATTTCTTGTACAAATCATGATTATTATGAAAGGTTCTTTCATTATGATATATGTGAAATCATTAAGATTGTACATGGATTACTTATGAATTGGAATGTGACACATGATTTTGAGATCAACCAAAAAAGTACTCGTGATGTTTTTTTCTAGTTCACAGAGGGGCCAATCGTGTTCTATCCGTCACGAAGGGGTCTGGACTGGACATTGATATAAATTGTTCATATAGTTCACAGAGGGGCTTTGCTCATGTTCTAAAATTGATTACCAGAAGTCTTGAGATTGCTTTCGTTTACGGAGGGGGTAAAAGGCCCATGGCGAGAATTCTTAGCCCAAGGGGCGGATTACAGATTTTAGCCAAATGATACATTTTTTGTGGATTACATTGATGTGATGAGATTGTAGTATGATTATCACATGATGTTTATAACATGACTTTGAGATGATATTTTACAGTGTTATGAGGATGTCTAACTTCTTTACTATAATTATGTGGTGTTATCTTGTGAATTATTAAATGATATAAACTCGGTTTTCAATAAAATAGTATAAGTGAGAAAGTATAATTATTTTTAAAAATTTTCACTCACTGAGCTATCAACTCATATATTTTCATGATTTTTCCTACATGTAGTAATTGATTCTTTTTAATTGGAAGAGCCTAATGATCTCGAAATGAGAGCCATACGATATGTTGAATGTTATAACTCATATTGACGAAGCACAAAGTAAATAATTTGGGCCCATCTCATTATATTTTACATAGCATTTGATTTTGGCGCATTTTTTTTAATAAGTCATAGTCAGTCTTGGTGATAGATTTGATATCTAGTTAGCATCTATTATCGACGCACGTCATGTTTCAAATCCGCTCGGGTGACTTCAAGCGGGTTATGTCACCTAAGCCCGAAAAGATTCTCCCATTGTAAAAGCTCATTACCTTAATGTTCTTCTTCTGAGCCTATTTGACTCCAACAATGAAACATGTGATGTCTCTTAAAACCTGGTGCCTCTAGTCAACAGACTTGGGTTAACCGGCATAAAGCTCGTTATAGAGGTCATCTCAGTCGCCCAACGGAGAAAAACCTATGCTTAAGAGGAAAAATATAATGAGCTTGAAAAATATGATGAGCTAAAAAATTTTGAAATTTTGAAAAATATCAATGCTCAAAGTCAGGGGACCAAAAAAAAAAAAAATTAGTATAGGTCCTAATACACTTACATGGTTTACTTTCATTAGTAGGAGAATATACCTATTGACAATGATTAGCATGTTCTTTCTAACAAAATTAAGATTTGGAGCCCTACTTGCATTGAATTAGTGATACTTTACACACATGAGTTATATGTACTTTTTACTCCATTCTGATTTGAACTGAGTATGTGGAAATGTTTATAATCAACTGCATTTTTAAGTTATTATATGTTATTGATTTTTTTGATTTTGATAATATTCCTTTTAGCATTTGTGACAAAAAGGGGAAGAGAAATGTGTAATTGAGGTGGGGGGGGGGGGAATAAGAGCAAGAGCGATTTGCGTGCACTGTTTTCACTGTTTGATTGATTAATATTATTCATTGTGCATTGCTATGTATAGGGGTAATTAGGGAGAGACAGATACATTTCGATACTACATAAAAATGTTGAGAGTTTACGAATTTGCAGTAAAGGGGAGAATTTGCATTGCATCGCATCGCATCGCATTCCATATCATAATGCATAGCTGTTTGAGATTTGATGTTTTGTAATGTTAATGTTTCGATTGGTGTTTTGATTGACGTTAGTGTCACGTCTCAAACTAGCACGCTTATTTATGACTATAAACTTTGATTGTTACATTTCTTGTATCATATGTTGTTACACTGGGTATTTGAGTTTTTGATTTCAGGAAACATGTTTAACAAGGAATGCAAGAAACAGAGTTTGGGTAGATTAGATTTTTGCTTTTACTATCTTGTCTTTATTGTTAGTTTTGTCACAGAATGCCAAAGGGAGATATTGTTAGGTTTCTAATGTATTGGCAATTTTTTAGACAAATGGATTAATGTAAAAGAGTTGTAAAAGTCAAAAAATATTTTGGAGCTGATCTCATAGTCCTTAAAGGAGTTCAAGATGTCCTGGATGATCACATATGATCATTAGAATACAATTAGAAGTCTAAAGGACATTAAAGAGCCGCCCAAGTTATTTTCCAAATTCTTAGTCATAACTCGAAACACATTTTTCACGTAGAAAATATTGAAATTTGGACAAGGATACTTCTAGAATATTTGTAGCCCTTTGAGTGAAAGTTCTAATGCATTTTGAATCACCTCGATCAAACATTGGAAGAGGAAGTTATGATAAAAATACTGACGACTGCTCGCCTGTCGCGAGCTGCCCACTCGAGCGACATTTGTATTCGACTAAACCCTGAGTCGCGATTTGAAGAGTTTTACAAGGCCAATGACACCTATTTTCCCCATCTATAAATACCAGAGTCATGGACGAAAATTCTAAGGTCTTTACATTGTGCTTCATCTTTATAACACATTTATATCATCTCTAAGATCCAAGAACAAATTCATCGATGGAATCGTCTCCATTAATCTTGTGATCCAGCAACCAAGTTTTGGAAAACATCAAAGGTGCAATAATCCAAAACACCTAGCTTCCTTAGTTCATTGAGGAAGTGATTCTCTCATTGGGGGATTGAGAGATGTGGATTATAGTGAATTACAAGCACAAGAACCGATGGTTCTTGATGTTTCACTTAGAGAGACATTTAGCACGAGACCAAGAGGCCGTAGGAGAAAGTAGTTGGGCTGCAGGAGGGAGATCAGGAAGTTTAGCAGGAGACTAAAGGCATCTACGGTAGCAGGAGGCTACAAGAGGTAGATTAGGAGGTCTAGCAGGCTAGAGGTATCTGCGACAGTAAATCATGAGACTATGACAGTGAGTCTTAGTGGATACAAGAGTTGGAATTGCTGTATATTCCATAAACTGTCTATAGTGGAGGTAATTGACTTGATCCCGGAGTTTTTCCCACGTTAGGTTTCTCCATCATCAAATTTTGTGCTCTTTTCTTTCCGACAATTTATTACAAACTGTGGTATTCAAACATAGGGTTAATTGAATTATATGCTTAATTATCTAGAAACTAATTAAAAGTGACATTTTTGCTTTAATTAGTCAATTCTGCACGTAAGGCCGAATTAATTGATAATCTAGAATGTAAACTTGGAAACACTAAAATTTGAATTTGTAATCACAGCGTCCCATGAACTTCCAAGCGTTATCATAGTGTTCTAAGCGAGACATTTCAATCAGAATAGGCTTGTTGGAGTGTGATTTTCTTTTGTAGATTTTAGTTGCATTCGGAAAATATTGCTATTGTGGATTTTATATCCCACAAGTGTACGGATCGTAACAATAGTAAAGTGGACATTTTGAATCTAGATTATTTTTCCCACGAGAACCATACTTTAGTATTCAATTTCCTATCTCTAACTTCTATTTGATGAAAATAAACGAGAACAATGATTGTTTGTGATTTTTAATCTCACTACTTAAAATGGTCATGGATGCAACAAAGAATGATTGAGAATTCAAATAATAAATAGATATTAGGGCGGAACAATTTCACCTATTGATTATCTTTAAGTCTTAAATCAAGATTCATAAAATCTAAGGCAGTGTTCAGTCGAATTCTCCGATTGTATTCAATTTACCCCTCTTGAATTCTCATTGAACCTAATTTACTACTTCAGTTTCATATCTCTATACGAATCAAACTTAGTTAAACGAAATAATAGTTCTACGAATTCATTTATGACCACAGTAATTAATATAGGTATCTCTACACTTTATATTAATTTATCAAATTTTAATATGTAGTCTAAAAAAAGAATCCGCATCTCTACATAATTATTGTTCACAAAATCATTGAATAATTGGATAGAAAATTCAAAGCGATGATAACATAATTAAAAGCCACACATATAATCATAACGAACAAGATTCTCAAATAAAAGAAATAAATGATCTCAAATAGGTTACATTGTTCACCCTAAAATTGGATTTAGCTACTTATAGTAATAAAAGAAAATCAAGAAGTTATTATGGAAGATATTAAATGGTTTTGAATAAGAATATAGAATAAAAAACCAATTATGCACCAAGATCTTCTTCCTCTTCTAATTTATGCTTCAAAACTTGGATTGCTTGATGTTTTTCTCCCTTGAATTCGGCCTTTCACTCTCCAATTGCATATGTTTTCCTCCCAATAAGTAGATTCAATCCCTTGTCGTGTTGTTCCCTTGAATTTTTTCTCAATCTCTCTGAATGCTCCAATGTTTTTTAGGTGTTTCAATGCATAAAAGAGGCTCCCCATGTGTATGGGTGATCCAAACAAAACTCAATATATATACTTAACATAATTTTGGATAGATCATAAGACTGATGATTAAAAAAACACTCAGAAATGGGAGGCAAAATGATTACATTTTTCATTAGTAATTAGATACATCAGATTTGCATTCTACAAGTGTTCTCTCCCAAGTTTTTTTCCTCTCTCTCTCTACCTCATCCTCTCACGAATATATATATACTCCACTCCTTCCACCAAGCAATTAACGTAGCTAGATAATGTTTCTCCAATCCTTCATGCAAGCAACGTGGCTGGGTGGTAATATTCTCCACTTCTTTTGCATGCAAGCACGTGGCTGGGTGGTCATGCAATTGTCCTGAATCACGGCTCCCCTTGTTTTAAGGCGAACTCAGCACCTGCTGAGTATCAAAATTGGAGATGAGGAAATCGACGTTGTCCGACTTCCTTGGAAAACCATTTGGCCTTGCTTGGATACTGACCTTGTAGCCCGATCCAAAAGGATTCTATGTCACCACGCCTTGTAGTAGTCAACTTTTTTTCCACGATAGTATCCTTAGCCAAAGAGATCTCCCTTTCCATCACTATGTCATCCATTGAGGGCAATGTTTCTGAGGCTCATCATCAAGCATAGATGGCTCAAATAACTTCAACTTCTCAACTTAACAATAGAATACATATCCATGTAGGTTGGCAACTCTAACTTACAAGCATTACATCCAATTCGCCTTAGGACTTTAAATGTTCCATACCGGATTGGTTTCAATTTCTTAAGTTCACCTCGTAGTCGTTCTTTAACCAAATGTAACCACACGAAATCTCCTTCCTAGAAATTTCCTTGTACTCAATGCTTGTCATGACGTTGCTTGTACTTTTGTTGTGCCCGAATTAGCTATTGTTCTGCACCTTGGTGTACTTTTTGAATATGCTCCACAAACTTCTAGGCTCGTAACTTGTCGTCCTCTCCTTTCATCACTGAATCTATGGGCTCCATTGTGAATTACATATCCAGTGGACTTTGGGAAAGGAAACCCAACATGCCTCTAAAGGAGATTTATTTGTCGAACTATGTACCGTGTAGTTGATAGCAAATTGCAGGAAAGGAATGCTTTCATCCCATGTTGTAGGATGCTTAGCGTTGTAACCCCGTAACATGTGAACCACCGTCAGATTAACAACTTTAGTTTGTCCGTCAGTTTGAGGGTGGAAAGCGGTACTGCGTTTCAACTTCATATCCATTTTTTCCCATAGTGTACACCAAAACTTACTTGGAAATCGACTCTCAAGATTAGATATGATTGAATTTGGCAACCCAAACAATGTCCAGAGTTTTTTCAAAGAAAAGATGGGCCGCTTCTTTCCTGGTAATAGTTTCTCGGCAAGGTATAAGCACCACCATTTTGGAGAACCTTTCCACAATAACAAATCAATAGTCATGTCCCCTCTGTGTTGTTGGTAAGCCTCCTAAGAAATCCATGGAGATGCTTTTCCATGGTCTACTCAGCACTAGGAATGGCATATAAAGCCTTGTCTTCCTATTGGCTGGTTTTGATGTGCTACATAGTACGCACCCCCTTACAAATCGAGCTACATCCTGTTGCATTCTGGGCCAAAACACATGGTGTGACAAATTTTGTAAGTCTTTTCCACTCTGAAATGCCTTGCCACCTTGGAAGTGTGTGCTTCCCTTACATACCTTAGTCTTTCGGCCTCTTGAGAAATACATAAGAGCTTCCCCTTCTACAGCAACCCCTTGCGCAACACGAAATCCATGGGCTTGCCACTTTATACGTATGCCATATAGCATTTGAACTCTGGGTCCTTCAAATACTATTCACCATATTCTTCGTGTATGATTGGTTGGATCTGCATGAACACCGATAGACATAAAGCAGCTACTGATGGTCATGAAAGCATATTGGCTAGTTTATTTTGGCTTCTCTGCTTGTATTTAATCACCAAATTAAATTGCTGTAAATAAATCACCCACTTCATATGGAGAGCTTGTTGTAGGCGTGATTATGTTTGTAGATATTGTAAGGGGCGATGATCTGTATGGACTGTGGTCTCTTTACCCAAAAGATAAGCCCTCCAATGCTTTACTGCTTGATGAAGTGCAAACATCTCTTTGTCATACGTGGAGTAATTCTTTGTCGCTCCTTGGAACAATTTTGAATGATAGGCAATAGGTCTTCCTTCTTGCATCAAAACGGCTCCCATAGCATACCCTAATGCGTCGACCTCTAGCTCAAAAGGCTTTTACAGGTTGGGGAGTGTAAGTACAGGAGCCTCACTTATCTTTCTCTTCAATAGCTAAAAGGTGTCCTCACGTTCCTTGTCCTAAGAGAATTCTTGATTTGCTTTTGTGTAGGCATGAAGCGGTGCAGCAAAGACAGAGAAATTTCTGATGAAATTCCGTACTTCATGAACTGATTGGGGGCGTGGCCAATTCTTGATAACTTCTACCTTGTCTAGGTCGACTAAAAGGGTACCATTACCGGCAATAAAGCCCAAGTAAATTAGGGAAGTTTGCCCGAAGATGCACTTTTTTCGATTGAGCAACAACTGATTTTCGGCCAGTGCAGTGAAGACCAAACGAACATGTTGAATGTGAGCTTCCCATGAGGGATTGAAAATCAAAATGTCATCTAAATAGACAACAACAAAATCATCAAGGAAAGGGCGAAGAATGTCATTCATCAAGCGCATAAAAGTGGAAGGTGCATTACACAATCCAAATGGCATAACAAGCCACTCAAATAACCTATGTCGAGTTTTAAGTGGTATTTTCCAAGTATTCTCCTCTCATATGCGCACTTGGTGATATCTAGATTTTAGGTCAAGCTTTGTGAACACAGCTGTATGTTTTAATTGATCCAATAGTTCATCAATTTGAGGTAAGGGATACCTATTTTATGTGGCGATCTTATTGAGTGTTTGATATGTTAGTGCGGAAACGAAGTATTGAAGAAAAACTTGAATTTTTATTGATAGTTTTTGAGTTGCTACAGCACACTCAATAATGTTTTCTTCTTTTTTTTCTTGCAATGAGACTACAAGAATGACCTCTATTTATAGGACCACATGGATAACTCTAGAGACATGGGAATATAAATGGACACCTAATAATTCATGAATTTGTATTATGTATTTTCCTGATACATTTTCTTCAAGTGCATCATGTATTTTCCTGATACATTTTCTTCAAGTGCATCATGTATTTTCCTGATACATTTTCTTCAAGTGCATCATGTATTTTCCTGATACATTTTCTTCAAGTGCATCATGTATTTTCCTGATACATTTTCTTCAAGTGCATCATGTATTTTCCTGATACATTTTCTTCAAGTGCATGTAACCTTATTTCCTAAGATTACAAATTAATGCCACATTTAACACCCCCTCTTAATTTGTAATCTTGAGTTTTTTCTTG